GCCCAGGCCCAGAGTTCAGGCCCCACAACTGGACCCAAAAATAAAAAATAAATAAAAGAATGAAACCTGTTGGAATTAAGAGGAAGTAATACAGAGAGTGATAGCGGTGATATTGGTCCAGACAAATTGTATATACATGTGGTAATATCACAATAAAACCCCCCTCGTATAACAACATATGCTACTTTTTTTAAAAATTTAATAAGTTCCAGCCAGGTGCTAGTAGCTCATGCCTATAATCCTATTCAGAGCCTGAGATCTGAAGATCATTGTTCAGTCAGTCCAGGCAGGAAAGTCCATGAGACTCTTACCTACAATTACCAAAAAAAAAAAAGCAGGAAGTGGAGTTGTGACTCAAGTAGCACTTTCAAAGGCACCAACCTTGAGTGAAAAAAGCTAGGAGACAGTGCCTAGAGCCTAAGTTTAAGCAACAGGATCAGCATGTGAGCACACGTGCATGCGCACACACACACCCGCACCCCCCCTCCCAACATACAAGTCCTGGTGTGTGTGTGTGTGTGTGTGTGTGTGTTTGCACTCTGAGGGGTCTGGCCCCTGTCCCTCAGCTCAGCTCAAAGCCAGAGCTCTACCACTTGAGCCACAGCACCACTTCTGGTTTTCTGGTAGTTTTCTGAATTCTCAGAGACTTTCCTGCCAGGGCTAGCTTTGAACCATGATCCTCAGATCTCAGCCTCCTGAGTAACTAGGATTACAGGTGTGAGCCACTAGCACCTGGTTCTATTATATATATATAAGGATATATTGGGCTGGGAAGGTGGCTCAGTGGTAGAGCGCTTGCCTTGCATGCATGAGGCCCTGAGTTCGATTCCCCAGCACCACATAAGCAAGAAGAAAAAAAGCCAGAAGTGACGCTGTGGCTCAAGTGGTAGAGTGGTAGCCTTGAGCTGAAAAGCTGAGGGACAGTGCCCAGGCCCAGAGTTCAGGCCCCACAACCAGACCCAAAAAAACAAAAACAAAACTAAAAGGATATATTCTAATAAATGTATATTTTATGATATATATGTATTTATATGTTAAATATAAACATATAAATTATATAAATATACAAATGTTTATTTATATTCTATATATTTACTAGAATATATAAATTCTAATAAAAGATAATCCCTAAAGTAATATGGTCCAGGTATCTCACGTGATCAGTATATCACTACTCTTCCTCACCTGGTAAACTATTCTACCAAAATTTAGTGAGCATCTAACTTGCCTAATTCTGTGTCACCTTCTCAAAATATATTGGTGTAAGGGGAAAACATCGGTAGTACACACCTGTAACCCCAGCACCTGGGAGGCTGAAATAAGATCCTGAATTCGAGGTGAGAATGAACTACTTATCTAGATGCAGTCACAAAACAGAGGAAGAAGTGGTGAATATGCAATTAGACAAACAAACAGACTTAACCTTCCAGTCCATCCAAAACACCAGCCCCTCCTGGTGTCACAGAGCTCCTTAACTTCTTCGCCATTCCGGACACCTTACCTGGACTACCTCCTGTTGCGGGAGGGGCAGGAGGCTGCCCACACTCTTGCTTTCTTCACATTAGATGCCAGTAGTAATCCCCCAGTTTTGACTCCAAGGCTGTCTCCAGACATCATCAGATATCCCCAAAAGCAAAATCGCCCCCAGCTCACAAGCACTGGTCTAGGGGACTCTGTCCAAGTGCGCTCTGTCCGCCCATCCCGCCCCAGGGTGATCTCTCTATGCGTCTTCAAACTTCACTTTCCCAGGGAGCAGCTTCCTGACCTCTCCAACTACATCAGCGCTTTGCGTTTCTGGGTCTTTCTAAGTTCTCCACCTTACACTTTCTGAGTACTCAAACTCGTTTCACCTAGCCTTGTCCACTGCCCGCTCTCTCCCTGACCACTGGCACGAGCCTTGGCACACTCCCGCTGCAGTGACTGACAAAGAGAAACGGGCAAAGGGGGGGGGCGGGTAATGTGACTGAGGCTGTGAGACTCAAGGTGGTGGGAGCTGAGGTGACGGCTTAGTCACGGAGCGCATGCGCTCCGCAGTTCCACGATTTCACCCCCATCGCCCCCCCCCTCCGCCACACCGACGAAGGTGTATCCGAAGTATACCCGCAGGCTACGGGAGGAGGAGGAGCAGGGTCGGCCGCTCCGACCGGAGCTCCCAGAGAGAACTTACACAGGCCTGAAAGCGGGCGACAAAGTCCCTCACTCGGGGACACCAAGTGCGGCTACCACGTTCACCACAAGCAGCAACTCCGTCCGTCCCTCAGCTCCTATAACGGCCGTTACACGCCCGCCAGGCCGCACGCCCCGGAGCGCGCGCCCTCAGGCTCCGCCCCATTATGGATCCCAACCAATAGGGCGTCCAGCCGCGTGAGTTTCTCTCCCCTATGTTCCCACTCCAGACCAATCGAGAGTCGAGCTGCATCGATGTCCCACCCTGTGCACGCTGCCCTCCGCGCGGGAGGGGGAGGGGGCCCGAGGGCGGGGGTGCCGGGCGGGGACGGCGGGTCGTACTGCGCATGATTCAGCCGCGATCTAAGGCGCTGTGCCGCGCCTCGGAGTCGCGTCCTCTGGCTTTTACTCAGTTCGGCCTGTAGGTGGAGTAGAGCTCACCGAGTCCTAGAGCGGCCTACTGAGCCTGGGCCAGTAAGAAGCTGATGGCCAGGGCTTGTGGGAACCCACTCAACCGGCCTCACCTTCCTTCCACTCCACTACCAACTGTCGGTTCCCGCCCCCGAAGAAAGGGGTCAGATGACCCACACAGGAGGCGGGTGTGGCCGGGGTCACTGGCTAGTTTGGAGTCTTGGCCTGATTTACTGGATAATAAACCTGGGTATGATAGGTAGATGATAGGTAGAGGACTTTTGTTAATATGAACCTTAAGTCTGGTAACAAGTTTTCAGACTGTTTTTGTTACTGTTTTGTACCGGAACTGGGGCTTGAACTCGAGTCTGTAGCACTTGCTTAGCTTTTTCTTTTTTTGTCAGTCGTGGGGCCTGAACTTTGAAGAGCTGTCCCTCAGCTCTTCAGCTCAAGGCTAGCGCTCTACCACTGGAGCCACGGCGCCACTTCCAGCTTTTTCTGCTTATGTGGTGCTGAGGAATCAAACCCAGGGCCTCATGCATGTGAGGCAAGCACTCTACCACTGAGCCACCTTCCCAGCCCCTTGCTTAGCTTTTCTAATTGAAGGTTGGTGCTCTACCACTTGAGCCACAGTTCCACTTCTGGCCTTTTGCTGGTTAGTTGGAGTTAAGAGTCTTACAGACTTTCCTTTCCCAGCTGGCTATAAACCATGATCTGAAGATATCAGCTTTAAGTACCCTAAAGTCCCTTAATATCTCAGTCTCAGGACCTTAAGGGTAGAAATTATATTTTCTATTATGTCTAATTTTTAGGGATATGACTTCTCTTTTCTAGAAGGCCTTGAAGGTAGCCTCTGATTCTCTAATCAAATTAAGAGGCTTCTTTTGTTTTGCTTTTGTGGAGCTTGAACTCAAGGCCTGGGAGCTGTCCCTGAGCTTTTTTGCTGAAATCCAGTGTTCTACCACTTCAAGCCACAGCTCCACTTCCAGTTTTCTGGTGGTTAATTGGAGGCCCATGCTGGATTTGATCAGTGAATGATAATCCTCAGATCTCAGCCTCCTGAGTAGCTATGCTTATAGGCCACCAGCACTAAGCTTTTTTTTTTTTTTTGAGGATGTTATGTAATCTACATTATAACATAGGTTCTGTAACCTAGGCTGGTCTGTAACTCACTATGAAGCCCAGATTGTCCTCAAACTCACAATCTTCCTGCCTCCCCCTCCAAGGTACTGGTATTTCAGGCTTATACCATCATGCCAGATTTTTTTTGGGGGGGGGTTGGTCATGGGGCTTGAACTCTGGACCTAGGCACTGTCCCTCAGCTCTTCAGCTCAACTCTACAACTTGAGCTACAGTGCTACTTCCGTTTTTCTGGTGGTTAATTGTAGATGAGTCTCAAGGACTTTCCTGCCGGGCTGTCTTTGAACCATGATCCTCAGATCTCAGCCCCCTGAGTAGCCAGGATTACGGGGGTGAGCCACTGGCGCCCAGCTCATGCCAGATTTATCTATCTTTTCCATCAGATCCACTGCAAGCATCCCAAGGAGTTGGGAATCCACCAATCAAAACATAGTTGATTCCAACACAAAAAAATTTTTTATTGTCAGTATACAGATACCTGGCCTTGGCGTCCTTGTTGGCCTGACCTTTATCTTTCAGTGCCTGGACCTACTCAGGCTTCACCCAGCTCTAGACTGGAGCAGGTAGTCAAGGATGCCCTTCTTTAGGCCAAAGCCTGGCTACCTTGGCCAGTAGCCCTCTTCTGTGCTCATCCTTGCCAACAGGGCTCTCATTCTCATCCAGCTTCCTTCTCCGTCTTGGTTCCTCTGGACCTGAGGCTCACAGGCACAAGCCCTGCAAATGCTGCCATTATCACAGTCCCTGGCCACTGCCCAGGTATGAGGGAGAGAATGGGCATTGGCCAGATTGTGCCCAGCCATGCTAGGGATGCAGGAAGATGCAGCAGCTGGCTGTATGTGTGCAGGCCCCTTGGTTTCTATCCCGCCTCCTCAGTGGTTGAACTTGTGTTTGCTAAGCATTGTATTTGTGGTCGATTCATAAACCTGCAATTAAGAGGGTTTTTCATAAGTTATCCTGCCTTGGTATGTCAGATTCTTCCTTCCTCCCTTTCTTGAGCTTCAACAGCTGTCCAATCCAAACTTTCCAGGGAAGTTCTTCAATATGTTTAACTATAGAGCCTGTGAGCTGGGGAGCCAAACATTTACCAGAATCCTGGTCGTTCTAACCCAGTCCAATTGGCAGAAGGCAAAGAAACACCTTTTTTCTATCCAGAAGCGCAAGCTCTCTCTCTCTCTCTCTGTCCCTCTCTCTCTCTCTCTCTCTGATACTACTCTTTTTGTTGTTGTTGTTGGTCATGGGGCTTGAACTCTGGGCCTGGGCGCTGTCCCTGTGTTCTTCAGTTCAAGGCAAGCCCTATACCACTTGAGCCAAAGTGCCACTTCCAGTTTTCTAGTGATTTACTGGAGATAGAGTCTCATGGACATGGGGCTGGGAAGGTGGCTCAGTGGTAGAGTGCTTGCTTTGCATGCATGAGGCCCTGGGTTCGATTCCTCAGCACCACATAAGCAAAAAAAAAAAAAATAACAAGCCGGAAGTGGAGCTATGGTTCAAGTGGTAGAGTGCTAGCCTTGAGTTGAAGAGCTGAGGGACAGTACTAGGCCCAGAGTTGAGGCCCCATGACTGGACCCCCCCCCAAAAAAAAGAATCTCATGGACTTTCCTGCCTAGGATGGCTTTGAACCACAATCCTCAGATCTTAGCCTCCTGAGTAGTTAGGATTGTAGGCATGAGCCACTGGCACCTGGCTTAGGATACTGCTCTTAATGAACCCAGATGGCCATCCATGGTTCATTTGCCCAGAGGAGCTGAGCTGGATGAAGCCATACTAAGAAGAGCTGGGAAACAAACTGGCTTCAGGAGCAGAACCTGATAGAACAGGGTAGGGGCCTTTCAGAGAAGGGTAGGGTGGGATTTGACCCAATATGGGTGGTGACAGCTGCAGTGGGTGGTAGTTGAGGGAACGGACAGGTCTTGGAATAGAGAAAGGCACTTTGACAAATACACCAGTGGCTGGGCTGGACAGCAGGACAAGTGCTGATTGGGTAGGATAGGGAAGCCACACCTTTTCCCTGTCAAGCAGTGCTGAGAACAAGTCTTGCTGGGTAGCTAAGCCTCGTGTGTCCACTGAGGACCCGCTCATTGATGACAGACTTGTAGACATGTGTTTGCGTAACAACTCCTCTTCCTGCTCCTTGTTGTAGCGGATGGAGCGTACTTCCTCCACGATTCTGGTGGGGCAGAGAGGAAAGTGCATTCAGGGGAGGGGGACAGCTCTTCTACCTCTTCCCCGGTGTGGCCTGTACTCCTCCTTGGACATTCCCTACCACACACCAGGACCCTCCTTTTCCCTCACACCCACCAACAGGCTGGGGGACCCTGGGTGAATCACTTAGCCTCTCTGGGCTCCAGGATCCACATTAGGAAATGATAAAGGCATGAGATCAGACCCAGCCTTGACTCATGGGACTTGGGGGGTACCCCCAGTACTTCCTTCCCTACCTGTTGAGCTCATCTCGGATCTGCTTGTATTGCTTCAAGTTCTCCTGTATTGCTTCAAGCACCAAGCAAAAGTTGTCACATGTGTTTTCTGTGAGGCTTGGCAGGGCACCCCCTACAAGTGGTTCCTGGGGGGCAGGTTTCTCCATCCAGGCCACTGCACAGTGCACAAGTGGCAATTCGTCATCCCATTTCTCATCTTCTTCCACATTCTGGGGGAAGGGCAGAGAGAGCATGCATGGTTCTCTCCCCTCCCCTCCTTTCCTCTCCTCTCTTCCATCCTCCCCCCACCCATCACTCTCTCTAGCACTTGCTTTCCCCCATTGAGCCAGACCAGGAACCCTCAGCTCCATTCAGTATTAGCTTGCCTACCTTGTTTGAGGTCAAGTGCACCAACCCATCCTCCACTTCTTTGGAAATTCTCACCCCCTTCCCTCTCATTGCATCCCTGATAATTCCTACCCAGTATACTTGGAAAGTCCTGCTTATTCTCAAGTCATGGCCTCACCTCCTTCTCCAATCATACTGAAGCTCTGCTGAATGACTATTCTGTAGCTATCGTTTATTGTGTGTTTACTATGTGCCAAGCACATGTCGGTGTTTACATAATCTTCAGTGGAGCCCTGTCAGCTAAATACCAAGATTATTGTATAGAAGAAACTGGAGACTGCATTGTTGAAATGCTCTAAGACCCACACAGTGGTCACATCTAGGAAATCCACACCCCAAGTTGAGGAGCGGGAAGTCCAGACATGGGGCTCCTGGTCTTGGATTTTATTTTCTTTTTGCAAGAACACATATGTGCACATGCACACACACACACACACACACACACACACACATACAGATACATACGTACAAGTTGGCACCCATGCACATAGCCCCTCGCCTCCCTCTTGCCCTCCCCATCCCACACACCTCGCTACTAAAGATTATTTGACGCTCTTTGTTCTGCTCTCCTGTCTTCATCATTTGTTCCAGATTGGTAGTCACCACAACGACAAACAGGTTGATACCGACGAAGGCACCGACAGTGATGAAGATGGCAAAGTAGATGGCAGCCCCTATCTCCATTGCATACTCTCTCCTCTGCATCCTAGAGATGGCACAAGGGACCACAACAGCTTTCCAACCTTTGTGAGCCTCTGTTTCCTCTTCTATGAAATGAGGACATTATCCCCAGGTCTACAGGGACTTCTGCCTGTTTTGCAACTATTGTGCAGATCTAATTACTGACTCCTGAGGGGGGAGGGTCATAGCACCTGCTCCTTACTAATGTGCTGTTGACCTGCTGTGCTGCTAGATAGCGGGCCAACACTCAGAGCGGCCCTGGGGAGTGGTTTGGACATCAGCAGTATCATATATCATTGATTACCAACACTCTCTTTGTATATATATATTATAAATGGAAGCGCTCTGTACCAGCCTCTATATGGGGAGATTCATATATATTTTCTCTACTGATTCTCACAATTTTCAACATAGTTAATAACGTATTTGCTGGGTCTTTAAAGATAAGAGTCTCACAATTTTTTATGTCTGGGCTAGTTCAAACTCAGATCTCAGCTTCCTAAGCAGCTAGGATGACAGTTATGAGCCACTAGCATCCAGCTGTTTTTCCTCACTACAAAGCTTTGGGTACCACCTTCCTGCTAGGCCAGCCCTGGAGCCCCAAACTCCTTGTAAGCCCTTTCCCCCCATTTTCCTGCCATATAGCAGTTCCAGCCCAGTCCTTGCCAAGGTGAGAATGAGGCCTGGGAGTTCCATTGGCACTCACTGGAAGTCCCTGTAGATGTCCAGCCAGCCATCCTGTGTGATGCAGATGAAGAGGGTGTACAGGGCAACCCCCATGTTCTGGAAATGCTTGGGCACGAATGCGCCAAAGAGTGTGACTCCAAACACAGAAAACACCTGCCAAAGAGACCAAAGTCCCACCCTAACATCATCCAGGGGCCTTGGACATGAATATGCAAATGACAGGCAAGTTGGTGCTGCCCATAACCATGAGCCTCTTCTCTAGGTTTCCCATTTCTCCCCATTGACCCAGATACTCTGTTTCAGGGAAGGGGAAGGGCTAGGGTAAAGGAGGGCACTGACCAGCATGAAGAAGAGGATGAGGGCCATGATATTGGCCATGTCAGGCACCGACTGTATGATGACACGGATGATCCGGGCCAGGGGCTCCACCGCCATGCACACGTGTACCAGCCGAAGCGCCCTGTGGCAGAGCCTCTCAAGGATACCCTTTGGCTCTTCCCAGACCTGCCCTCCCTCCTCATTGCCCACCCCCTAACTGCCCACAGAGGCAGAACTGATGCCCAGCTAATAACCACCTCCCCCTCTCATTCCTGAGATCCAGAAATGTTCCCTCTTTTCTCCAGAGCTCCCAGCTCACCTGAGCGTGTAGGTGACAGCAATGTTATTGAGTTCATTAATGAAGAACCCCAGGAGCAAGACAAAGACAATAACGAAATTGAGGATATTCCAACCGTCCTAAAAGTGAGTCAGCCCCAGAAGGATCTGTCATATTTAGCCCTTGATGGCTGCCTGAGTTTCCCTCCTCACACCCAAGGATGGGGGGGCTCAAGAGCATCCTCTTCTGCCCCCAAACATGTACAGGACATGTCCACTTACTGTCCTGCACATCTGCCAACAGCCAAGTGCAAACTCAGGAACTTATAGTGAAGACCCTCCCTTCACATGTACCCTTTGGTCCCTAGTCTGAGGCCCTCTTTGGCTAGTGACCTGTTCTTGTCCTACAAATTAGGTAACCAGAAAACATCTGGATACTCCTGCCTTTGTGTGACACAACAGTTTATAAAATGGATGAATACCAAATAAACACACCAAGCAATACTGCTTCAAACTGGATGCTAGTGGCTTACATCTATAATCCTATCTACTCAGGTGAGATCTGAGGATTGAGGGTGGGTTGTTTTTTTGTTTTTGTTTTTGGTTGGTCATGAGATCTTCAGCTCAAGGCAAGCACTCTACCACTAGAGCCACCATGCCACTTCCGGTTGCACTCTACCACTAGAGCCACCATGCCACTTCCGGTTTTCTGGTGGTTAATTAGACATAAGAGTCTCACAAACTTTTCTGCCCAGGCTGGTTTTGAACCCCGATCCTCAGATCTCAGCCTCCTACCTAGTAGCTAGGATGACAAGCGTGAGCCACTGACACCTAGCAAGATTGAGGTTTGAAACCAGCCCAGTCAGAAAAATGTGTGAGATTCTCATCTTCAGTTAACCAGAAAAAAGGTGGAAGTGGGCCAGGCACTGGTGGCTCACACCAGTAATCCTAGCTACTCAGGAAGCTGAGATCTAAAGGATTATGATCTGAAGCCAACCTGGGTAGGAAAGTCTGTGATACTCTTTTTTCTTTTCTTTTTTGTTGGTTGTGGGGCTTGAACTCTGGGTCTGGGCGTTGTCCCTCAGCTCTTCAGCTCAAGATGAGCACTCTACCACTTGAGCCACAACACCACTTCTGGTTTTCTGGTGGTTAATTGGAGATAAGAATCTCATGGACTTTCCTGCCCAGGCTGGCTTTGAACTGTGATTCTCAGATCTCAGCCTCCTAAGTAGCAAGGATCACAGGAGTGAGCCACCAATGCCTGGCAGTGATACTCTTATCTCCAATAAACCACCAGAAAACGGGAAATGGAGTTGTGGCTCAAAGTGTTAGAGTGCTAACCTTGAGCAAAAAGAACTCAGGGATAGCACCTAGGCACCAAGTTCAAGCCCTACGACCACCAACAACAACAACAAAAAACAACTCCAGTCCTGGAACATAAAAGAAAAAAGAAAGGAGAGGAAATGAAAATCCACTTGTCTATAAATTGATTATTGTATTGAACAAATATTAAGCTCCTGCAGTATACCATACCATGAACCATTTCCTGAGAATAAAAGGTTTTTGTCCTGTAGGGCTCGCAGATTAATTTGAAGGATGTGGAAAGACCAAAAAAAAAATTTTTTTTGGCCAATCCTGGGTCCTGAACTCAGGCCCTGAGCACTGTCCCTGAGCTTCTTTTGTTCAAGGGTAGCACTCCACCACTTGGACCACAGCACCATTTCCGGCCTTTTCTATTTCTGTGGCACTAAGGAATGGAACCTAGGATTTCATGCATGCTAGACAAGCACTCTACACTAAGCCACATTTCCAGCCTGAGACAAAATATTTTATATGCATACATGAGAAAGACCAGAGCGGCTGGGAACCTGGCCTAGAGATTGGAAGAGACCTACTGAAGAAGACATCCCCATAGGTATGAGAGTAAAGCAAATGAAGAGGGAAAATCAAATACTTGTGTGTGCTGGTCCTGGGGCTTAAAATCAGGGCCCGCACACTTTCCCTGAGATATTTGCACTCAAAGCTAGTGCTCTACCACTTGAGCCATACCTCTACTCTAGTTTTTTGATGGTTAATTGGGGATGTGTCTCACAGACTTTTCCTGCCAGAGCTGGGTTTGAACTTCAATGCTCAGATACTAGCTTCCTGAGTAGTTAGGATTACAGATGTAAGCCACTGACACCTGCCTAGAATACTTACTGACACATGAAAATTCAAAGTCGGGCTGGGAATATAGCTGAGTGGTAGAGTGCTTGCATAGAATGAATGAAGCCCTGGGTTCAATTCCTCAGTACCACATAAACAGAAAAAGCCAGAAGGGGTGCTGTGGCTCAATTAGTAGAGTGCTAGCCTTGAACAAAAGAAGCTCAGGGAAAGTGCCCAGGCCCTGATTTCAAGCCCCAGGACTGGGGGGAAAAAGTATATTTTTATCTGGTAAATCATAGAAAAAGTTTTCTAACTCTTGCTCTAGACTTCTATACATACCCTCAATCCCAGGTATAAAAGTCAACATTTGCCTGACTACAGAGCTGGATCAAGAATAGGAACTAAGCAGGGTAATGAAGGCTCATGCCTGTAATCCTAGCTACTCAGGAGGCTGAGATCTGAGAATGGAGGTTCAAAGCCAGCCAGGGCAGGAAAGTCCGTGAGACTCTTCTCTCCAATAAGCCACTCAGAA